ACACGTCGCCGCTCAGCGTGACTACGAGCTCCACTCTCTTGACTTCAGCACAGCTTTCTTGCAGGGCAGCCTGCACGAGGAGATCTGGCTGCGCCGTCCACCTGGCTTCACTGGGTCGTTTCCTCCTGGTACCCAGTGGAGCCTCAGGCGACCAGTCTACGGTCTCCGCCAGGCGCCACGTGAGTGGCACGATACACTGAGGACTACACTTGCGGCTCTTGGGTTCGCTCCTTCTACTGCTGACCCGTCGCTGTTTCTACGCACCGACACCTCACTGCCGCCGTTCTACATCCTCGTGTACGTCGACGACTTGGTCTTTGCCACTTCTGACACAGCTGGTCTCGCTCACGTGAAGTCCGAGTTGCAGAAGAGACACACGTGCATAGACCTGGGTGAACTGACAAGCTATCTTGGCTTACGGATCACCCGGGACAGAGCACGGCGCACCATCACCTTGACTCAGTCACACATGGTGCAGCAGGTCCTTCAGCGCTTTGGCTTCACGTACTCCTCGCCTCAGTCCACTCCTCTGCCTACGGGACACTCGCTCTCAGCTCTGCCTTCGGATGAGTCCGTAGAGCCGAGTGGTCCGTATCCAGAGCTTGTGGGCTGCCTCATGTACCTGATGACCTGCACTCGACCTGAACTTGCATACCCTCTCAGCATCTTAGCACGCTATGTCGCTCCCGGCCGTCACCGGAAGGAGCACATGGATGCAGCTAAGAGGGTGTTGCGCTACTTGTGCAGTACGTCGGGCAGGGGGCTAGTGCTTGGAGGGCGAGACCGGCCTGTTCTCACTGGGCACTCAGACGCTTCTTGGGCAGACGACCAGGCTACTCAGCGGTCGTCTCAGGGTTACACCTTCAGTCTTGGCTCTGGCTCTGTCTCTTGGCGTTCTACTCGTTCCTCTTCTGTTCTCGGCTCCAGCTGTGAGGCTGAGATCTACGCCACGGCCATGGCTGCCCAGGAGCTTCGCTGGCTCACCTACCTGCTGACTGACCTTGGAGAGCAGCCTCGTTCTCCTCCAGTGCTGTACGTCGACAACAAGGCAACCATAGCCTTGTGTGAGGAGCACAGACTGGAGCACTAGGACGAAGCACATTGCTCTGCGTTACTTTCTAGCTCGAGAGCTACAGCGGCGTGGTCAGCTTCTTCTGCGTTACGTGGCCACTGAGGCCAACACTGTTGATGTGTTCACCAAGGTGCTTCCGCCTGTTGACCATCAGCGTTTTTGCACTCTTCTAGGCCTTGTGCCGACTGTTCCTCACTTGCTTACTTCTTGACCTTGCCTGTACTGTGATCATTATATATATATCTGCATGTTTGCCCTTGCTAGGTTGTGATCATTGTACCTCTTGCTCTGTTATAAAACTGCATGTGAACTGGTCTTGTGACCGCTTACTTGTGCTCGGAATTTGTGTGGAATCCTCGAGATCCACCCTGAGCTTGTTTGCCTTGCTTTGCCTTGACTGGTCTTGTGACCCCTAGGTCTCCCCCACTTTGCCTATGGGGGTGTGTCAAACATTATATGTTTGTGTGGTTCTAGGCTGTAGTGGGTCACACCATAGGGGGTTCACCAGTTTAGGGTTTCATATTTGTACTGTTGTTCTTGCTAGTCACACACATTCCTGTTTCTCATTCTGACACCGCTAAGGGCGAGCGCGTGGGCCGACGGGGCCTTAAGGGGCGGCGCGCGAGTCGCTAAGGGGCGGGTCGCGGGTCGAGGGGCCTTAGAGGGCCGTGAAAACCGAGGCGCCCTAGGGCGCAGGTAGGTAGGTAGGTAGGTAGGTAGTGGTGGGCCCTAAAAAAAATCGGTCCTAGGAAGGACCTGCTCTATACCATGTTGAAATGAATGAACAGGAATGATTGAACTAACAGTGAAATCAGTACAAGTACCTAACCCTAGAATTGTGTACCCCCTATAGGCTAACCCACTGTAGCCTAAACAAACACAACATATATAATGTTTGACATATACAACACTCCTGTTTTACATGTGCCTATGACACATAGATGGATAATAATACAACATTGATAAACTACACAATAAAGCAGCTGATTCTGGAAAATCATAATCTCTCAATTATGCTATGAAAATTGTATGTTGTAGTCATCCGAACTGGTTCTAATACATGGGATACATGTACAATGCCTGAGTCTAACATTCTTGTCAGAATGTGATATTTGTCTAGTCTGCAGTGGAGTACTCTATAGTGAGTACAGCTCGGTTAGGGTTTGTCATTTGTATCCCAACTGCCTGCTAGTGAAACCCTCTCCTCCTTTCATTCATGTTTTACCTAGCTGCTTTAACATGCTATCAGAGCGTCTACGCTCCTGGCCTGTGGGTCCACCTGCTTCCGCTGCTGTACTTTCTGTCGCGCGCCCCGTGTCGCGCGACGGTTTTTCTTCCCGCCACGCGCTCGAGGCTTGTGGCGGTATTCTGCCCGCCACGCGCTCGGGGCGCGTGGCGGTTTCCTGCTCGCCGCGCGCCCCGGGCGTGCGCGGCGGTTTCTCGCTCCGTCGCGGTGCCCCCGAGGACCCGCGCGCAGCACTCCGTCGCCCGTCATGGCGCCCCCGGGGACCCGCGCGCTCCCCCTGTCGTCCGTCGCGACACCCCCAGGGACCCACGCTCGGCCCCCCATCGCCCGTCGCGGCGCCCCCGGGGACCCGCACGCCGCCCCCCGTCGCCCGTCGCGGCGCCCCCGGGGACCCGCGCGCTGTCCTCCGTTGCCTGTCGGTGGCCCAGGGGACCCGCGCGCCGCCCCTTGACCCCGTGCGCCGCGGGGCTGCTTCCCCCCCGCCCCTCCCCTTTCTCCTTCCTCTCCCTCCTGCGCGTGCAGCTATGGGGGTGGCGGGTATGGGGGTGGCGGGTGTGTGAGCCGTCCCTTGCTCCTCCTCCTCCTCCGTCTCCCACTGCTACAGTTGCCGCTGAGAGGGGTGGATGTGTGGGAGCCGAGGGAGTGGCGCTAGGGGGGTGCCGTGGGAGTGGAGCTAGGGGTGCATAGGGGGGTGTGTGAAAGGGGGTCTGTGCCAGTGGGGGAGGTTGAACGGAGGTAGCCGTTGTGGAGCCAGCAGCGCCATTAGTTCGGATGCCCTTGCTCCGGTAGCCAGCGAGCCCGTTGCGCCAGTCGCCTGTGGGTCCGTTGCTCCAGCCGCTCGTCTTAGCCGCAAAGCCAGTTACTCTACTAGTCCGTGGCCCTTGCTCCGGTAGCCCGTGTGCCAGTTGCTCTAGTAGCCCGTGTACCAGCAGCTTCAGCCGTCGCCTCCAATCTCCTCTCCTCTCACAGTCCCTCCTCCTCCTCATGAGTCCTTTATGTCTCTCACTAGCTTTGCTTGTGCTTGTGAAATTATTATGTGACTGCTTGCTGTGCTGACTATACCCCACTTTGCCTATGGGGGTGCGTCAGAATGTGATATTTGTCTAGTATGCAGTGGGGTACCGGTACTCTATAGTAAGTACAGTCTGGTTAGGGTTTGCCATTTGCATCCCAACTGCCTGCTAGTGAAACCCTCTCTTCCTTTCATTCCTGTTTTACCTAGCTGCCTTAACAATTCTATATAGTGGTCCAACTATTTTTTTTATTTAATATGTTTTTCATCTCGAAGAATTATTCGTGAGTGTTATTAGGGATTCATTATCATTATTATAGCAATATCACCAAAATTATAAACACTTTAACCAATCCATCCGTTTCCCCTATATGGGACCAAAAATCACAATGAAAAGCGTTATAACTTATATGCGTAAATCACCCATTTTATCATGAGGCTTGGTAAGCATCGATTTCTAATGCCACATCAACGTTGATTGATGTGCCTTACATGTGAATGCACGACAAGTCCTACATCTTGGCACAGAAAATCTACTTCAGTAGGCGGGAATATCATAACTATACCAGGCACTCTGCAGATGTGACATTCATTGGCATATAAGGCTAAGTCACATCCAGTTCACACTTTGCACATGAGCTCAAACTCCTTTCCTGAGGTTATTTCATATATAGAGGCACTCTATACTGATGTCTAAACCTGTAATTTTATCAGAAGTTCATTACATGGCGCTAGCGATTTATTCATTACCGTATTTGTGTGTGCTCTTTTATATCTCATATCCGGACGCCCCAAGAAGCAGAGTTCCCTTTCTTGTCGGGCTTGCACTACATCGAAACTTGCCTACCAAATACCATCCTCTGACAGCTCGGAACTCCGAGCAATCAGACTGGTTGTGATTGTTGAGGCCAGCAGATTGGCTACCGTGCTTTCCGCGCGACATCGACGGCCAGGGTTGCATCTCTCGTCCCCACACGTTTCTATCCCTCCATCGACACCGTAGATCAGTGGGTTGCTGCAAACCGCGAATATCTAGTGCAGCGACTACGCAAATAAATAGCTCAGATGATCCCATGATGGTATGCACCAGATTCTGAACTCTAATGATCCCTGAAGTAGCTGCGAAACGTATCATTGGACATCCTCATTACTTGACCTGCAACACCAGATTCTTCATTCCCCATTCTCGTTGTCGAATCGGCCACACACGGCCGTATGCGGCGCGGCGTCCTAAGTTAAACTGTAAGCATTTCTCGAACGAAGGCTGATGCCAATTCCCCCAGCGCGAACGTCTAAGGCCGCACTCAGATGGGCTATCTGCCGTGCTTCGGTGATCTAGGATAAACCAGGGTCGACGTCCGGCTCCCCCTTGTCTAGACGATTCGCTGTAGGTCGCATTGTCCTGTCCGCGCGCCTCTCGATCCGTCCCCTGCCCATCGCCGACAACCCGCACGATGCGTCCCGTGCATATTACCCGAACCACCTAACAGCACACGCCTGCGAGGGCCAGCCATGCTCCACGCATCGCGATCCGCGGCCTCGTAAACGGTCCGTACGCGTAGCCGTTCCAGCCCCGCGCGCTGCGCGCTGCGGCCGCTGTGCTCGCCGCGCACGTATCGGCGAGGTGGCGCGAAGCAGAGGCGAGCGCAGGGAGGCGGCTTACGCGCGCGATGCTGCCGGTGCATCTGCGGCTGATGGCGGCGCTGGTGGAGACGATCGGCGCGCCCATCAAGCTCACCGTCGCCGCTGCTGCGGCGCATGACACGGGCTTCCGCGAGAAAGTCATTCTCCTCGCTCAGGTGTGCACACTCTCAGATGCGCTCTCAGATGCGCTCTCAGGTGTGCTCTCAGATGCGCTCTCAGGTGTATGCGCTCTCAGGTGTGCTCTCTAGTGTCAGGTGGGTTTTCAGGTATGCCTTCAGATCAGGTGTGATCGCAGGGGTGCTCTCAGGTGTGTCTCGTGCTCTCACGCTTGCACCCGGGCATAACATCAAGGCCACTTCCTGCCTGTGCGTTCCCCATTCCTCCCCTGATCGCCTGCCTGGCCTCCTGCCTGTACGGTTCACCCCACCAGGCCTTCCATCACATGAACATACTCCTCACCACGTTGCACCGTTTTCAACCCAAACTACTCCTTTCCATCCTCTGATGACATTGCTCCCCCACCTCTTCCACCACATGAACGTGCACCTGTACAAGCGGCTGAACGCATCGCCCTGTACTCCTCACCCCGTACTCGCCCCGTAAAACCACTCTTCTTCCTCCCCTCCATCGTACCCCATCTAACAAGCCTTCCATTGCATGAACGTGCGTCTGCACAGGCAGCTGGATACGCAGAACAGTACTCCTTACCCCGTAGAACCCATGCTACTCTCTCACCACCTTTGCCTCGCTCCCTCACCCACTCCACCCCGCCACCAGGCCTTCCACCGCATGAACGTGCGCGTGCAGAGGCGGCTGGACGCACAGGTCTGTCCTACTTACCGCGTAAAACCACTCTCAATCTGTTCTAATGTCCTCCCCCCTGTCCCTCCCTTCCCCCCCCTCCCAACATGCCTTCCACGGCATGAATGTGCGCCTGCACAGGCGGCTGGACACGAGTAGCACAGTAATCCTTACCCCGTTGAACCACTCTCAACCCATGCTACTCCTTTCCATCCTCTGTCTACATTCCTCCCTCGCCTAACAGGCCTTCCATCGCATGAACGTGCGACTGCACAGGCGGCTGGACACGAGGCAGCATGCCAGGCAGCACCGGCACCTGCCCATCCGGCCACTCAACGAGGAGAGGGCTGTGGACCTGGCCGCGCACCTGCTGGGGGAGCTCTTCGTGTTCGGGGTGAGGGGGGTGAGGGGGGTGAGGGGTGAGGGGTGAGGTGGTGGGACCGCGAGAGAGGAATGGTTGGTGTTGGGGGTGAGGTCGAGGGAGTGAAGATGCGAGGAGAGGAGGGGTCGGTCGGTGGTGTGGGTGAGGTGATGCGAGGACGGCTGCAGTCAGACCCTATGTTGGAAAAGTCGCGCCCAGCGTATTATACGCCAGCGTATATACGCTGGCGTATAGTACGGGATGCGCTACAAGAGTGATTTTGTTATACGCTGAAAATACGCTGCCCGGGCAGGTAAAACTTTTTCCCGGGCAGTGCTATCCAGAAGATTCGCATCCGCGATTGTCGCGTCACAGGAGGAGGCACTAGGAACCTCACTTGTCGCACTCGCGGGAGTGCCATTAGGGGTCGACATCATAAGGTTGTCGAGGGAACTGGAGAGAGAATGAACGAGCGGAGGAACTCACCTAGGTGAGAGAGTTGCGTGGTTGGCTGGTTGATGACATTTGTGAAGATGAGTTGGAGTCTGGGGGTAACAGAAGGTGCAATGCGGTTGAAATGTCCCCCACGTCTCGAATTTTATGTGTTAGGGTTGACGAGATTGTTTGGGACGTGCGCACAATGTGAGTCTCGTCGCAAACTCAAATTTCGTGCGCGATTTTTTTTTTTTTTTGCCGGGCAGCCCAGACATTTTCGAGCGAATATACGTGCGTATTGCGTACTCCGTATATACGTCTACGCATATACGCTGTACGTTGTCCCTGGCTGGTGACTTTTCCAACATAGGTCAGACCTGCTCGCATCGTCACAATAACGTCTGCTGGGAGTGTATGCCCACGCATAGTGTCCCACCATCCGCCCTCCCCTTGCCAACCCAGCAGCGCCGTGCTTTGTGTCACCTTCATGCCTGCTGTTGCATCCCTCTCTCCCCAGGCAGCCGCGACCAGCACAGTAGCTAGCTGATGTCACCTATCATCAGACTCGTTGCAGCTCCCCAGGGAGGCACGATGCAACAAGCCCGGTTTGGCAACATTGCAAGACAGCACCACGTCACAGTGGCACGGCTGGGAAAGGGGAAGACGGACGCTTCTTCCGGAGGCCCAGCAGAGCACGCCAGCATTCATCACGGCAGAGGAGGCAGCGCAGGAGATGTGGGCATGTGCCAACGTTTCTCCCACCTTCCTAGCACTCCCTGTTGACATTCGGGCCTCGTGAGTTTGTCTCTGTTGTCGCTTCCCCCCAAATGGGCGGGCGGCAGCATCATTGTGGCAGAGGTGGCCAAACAGGGGCATGCGATCATGAATCCATTCCCTTTCCTACTGTTATCAGCCTCTTCGTGCCATCCCTTGCCCTCCTTCCAGATGGGTGGGAGTATCATTGTGGTGGAGGTGGCCAAGCAGGGGCGAGCGAGCATGACTTGAACGCCTTTCCTGTGGCATCCCTGTCATTCCAACCTCGTTATTCCGTCTTCTTTACCTCTCCCCTCCCTCCAGATGGGAGGGAGCATCATAGTGGCGGAGGTGGCCAAGCAGGGGCGGGCTGAGGCGAGGAAGGAGGAGGCGCACAGACGAGAGGTGCAGGTGAGAGCACAGGGAGGTGAGAGGTGGGGGAGGTGAGAGGTGGGGGGTGAGATTTGGGGGAGGCAAGAACTGCTGGGGGAGGCTGCACTTGAGAGGGACGTGGGAGAATGGAAGGCGAAAGAAAGGAGCTTAAGATGTGCGACAAAAGGGAGAGGGCGTGCAGCAAGGTTTCACAGGAGAGATTGGGATTGCTTGCTAAACGAGAACAGGGAGTTGGGGGGGATCAGGGAGGGTTAGGGAATGGAAAGAAGCAAAGAGGGTGAGGGGAGGACCGAGAGTGGGGACAAAATGTGGAGATAAGAAATTTAGCGTACTTCTTCCCTGACAGCTGGCAGCACCATAGCTGCAGTCCGGGTGTATACACGCCCTCCTCTGTCCTCCCTCGCATCATCACCAACCCCTGTTGCTAACCCCTCCTCGTCTTACCCCTCATCTGTCTTGCATTCACGCTCTCGCTCTTCTCCCTCCCAGTTTTCTCCAGCAGCTACACAGACGCTCCGCACCACCGCTTGAAGTTTGAGTGTATGGCGTTTCAATCTCTGCTGTAATCACGGTCGTTACTGTCACCTTCTGCCGGCATTGCGCTAATGTTCAGACCTGAACCCTCCTTCTCACAACATCTTTTCTCTCTATTTCGCCATTTCCTCTTTCTCTACACAACTCCAGGAAGCAACGACCCGCCACCGGTACCTACAGCAGGAGATGTTTGTAGCGAGGGAGAGACTGATGCAAGCGCAGCACTCCCTTGGTGTGGATGACACAGCTCTCCCCCCTTTGCCTCCTCTCCCTCACTCTCTCACACACACTCGAGGGAAGCACAGACACTTGGGGAGTGGTGTTGGTGGGCTGGAAGAGGAGGAAAAAGGGAGGGAAGAGGGAGAAGACGGGTGGAGGGAGGAGGAAGAGGGGGTGGATGAAGAGGAGGAGCATGCGGGGAGGATGGGTGGAGGTGAGGGGCAAGAGGGGTTGGATGCGGTACGAGAGAGGGAGATGGAGAGGACAGTTGAGAGGCAGGAGGAGGAGGAGAGAAGGGAGGAGGAGGCGAGGGAGGAGGAGGAGAAGAGGCGGATGGGGTTCTTCATGCCGCGAGTTCTATCAGCTGACTTTGGGTTTGGCCCTCCCATGTAAATTCGCCCTTCCCTTTTAGTTCAGATCAGCAGCAGAGTACTTCAGCAGGGGTCTTAGCTTCTCTTACCGTATGCTATTCGCTGCCAAGATCGTCTTTACCCAGGCAAGCTCCCTCCCGATCTCCTCAAGTCGTGCTGGTTAAACCCAGCTTGAGCACAAGTGGCTGCGCCGTCTGTGTTATCCTGTTGGCGGCAACATCCCTGTAGAAGTTATGGCAGTCGCTGTATGAACTTCAGCTGTTAGGTACATTGGGAAGTATATTTGTTGTTCCTTGACCATTATATAAAAGCAGTAATTCTCCTTCAAAAAACATGTTAGAATGGAGATTAGATCGCATATGGGGGGTGGGGATCAACAAGAACAGAAAGAATGAACTAATGAGGGCATGTAGGGTTTAGATATAACATTCCATACCTTTTGTAGTGTAACCTAACCTAGCCTACAAAGTACACACACAAAACATCTACAAAACCAGTATGTGTACGCTGGCAGAGGTGGGTGCAGCGGGATAGGGGATTAGGGCGTGTTGCGGGTGTAGCTGTTTGATGAGATACAGCACACTCTGTCAAAAAGTGATGTGTATTTAGTAGGAACGTGAGTACAACAAGTAGGAAACCCTATGGGGTTATACTCACTAGAGTACCGTATTCTCCCGGATAAAACACCCCCCCGTAACTGTAGACCCCCAGGTAGCTAATATGGGGTGGGTGTTATATCCGACCCCGTTAGTACTATACCCCCCTTTTTGGGGTGATTCTCTATAACACCCCCCTTTTCTTATAGATTCCTATTATAGCTGTTATCGAGTCCGATTCCTTACATGAGGATATCGCGAAAATCACTCCCTAGAAGAAATTTCGCATGTACTTTCACTTGGAATAAGCTGAGATATCCCCCCTCCCACAATCTCGCTGTCGCCACGCTGGTGAATCCCAAAATCTCGCTGTCGCCACGCTGGCGAATCTTCCACTGCAAGTGGTCCAAGAGGTGAAGTGGCCCAAGTGGCCCACAATATCCTTGTACTCGGTTTTGCGGCATTGATAAACAATCTTGAAGTGAAGTCGGACCCCTGATTTTGTTTCACATCTTTTCTGTTTTATAAAAAATATACCATATCATAAGACCCGGGCATTATATAGGATTTTCCTTTGAGGAGACCCCCCCCATTTTTTTCCAGTGGTTTTCATAATACCCTAGGGTGTTTTATCCGGGAGAATACGGTATGTCCCACTACAGCCTAGAGCATACAAACATAGTTTGACACACCCCCAAAGGCAAAGTGGGGGATAGCAAACACAACGGACGGTCACAAGACCAGTCAAGCAAGAAAACAAAGCTAAGCAAAGCTCAGGGTGGATCTCAAGATCACCACACATTCTGAGCACAAGCAAGCGGCCACAAGGCCAGTTCACAACCTAGCAAGAGCAAACATGCAGGTATAGTCATACATATCAGAGTATAACAAGTGCAAGGCAAGATCAAGAGACAAGCAAGTGAGGCAGAGTGGGCACAAGTCCAAGAGCAGTGCTGAAACGCTGATGATCACTAGACCCAAGGGCCTAGGTGAAGACATCAGCAGTGTTGGCCTGTGTGGACACGTAAGCAAGATGAAGCTGACCACGCTGCTGCAACTCTCGCGTGAGGAAGTAACGGAGAGAAATGTGCTTTGTTCTGTGCTCCAGTCTCTAATCCTGACACAAGGCAATCATGGCCTTGTTGTCGACGTACAGAACTGGAGGAGAATGAGGCTGCTCACCCAAGTCGGTCAGCAGGTAGGTCAGCCAGCGGAGCTCCTGTGCAGCCATAGCCCCAGCGTAGATCTCGGGCTCACAGCTGGAACTAAGTACGGAAGAAGAGCGAGTGGACCTCCACGAGACAGAACCAGTGCCGAGAATGAAACTGTACCCCTGTGTCGACCGGTGAGTCGTCTGGTCGTCAGCCCAAGAAGCGTCTAAGTGACCGGTGAAAACAACTGAACCATGTCCTCCAAGCACGAGCCCCATACCCGATGTACTGCACAAGTAACGTAATACCCTCTTCGCAGCTTCCCATTGCACCTTTCGGTGTCTACCGGGAGCCACATAGCGAGCAAGGAGGCTGAGAGCCTACGCGAGGTCAGGTCGTGTGTACGTCATTAGGTACATGAGGCAACCCACAAGCTCTGGGTACGGACCACTAGGCTCTACGGACTCGTCCGAAGGTGGAACTGAGAGCGACTGGCCGGTAGACAGAGGAGTGGGCTGTGGCGAGGACCACGAGAAGTCGAAGTGCTGAAGGACCTGTTGCACCATGTGTGACTGAGTGAGGGTGATGGTGCGGCGTGCTCGGTCCCGGGTGATCTGCAATCCATGATAGCTCCGCAGCTCACCCAGGTCAGTGCAAGTGTGTCTCTCCTGCAGCTCCGCCTTCACCAAGGCCAGAGCCTCAGTATCAGCAGTAGCAAAAATTAAGTTGTCAATGTACACAAGAACGTAGAATGGCGGCAGAGAAGTGTCAGTGCGCAGAAACAGCGAAGGGTCAGCAGTAGAGGGAGCGAAGCCAAGAGCCACAAATGTAGTCCTTAGTGTGTCGTGCCACTCACAGGGCGCATGTCGTAGGCCGTAGACTCGCCGCTGAAGACTCCACTGGGTACCCTCAGGAAACGACCTAGTAAAGCCACGTGGGCGGCGCAACCAGATAGCCTCGTGAAGGCTGTCCTGCAGGAAGGCTGTTGAGAAGTCGAGGGAGTGCAGCTCGTAGTTGCGCTGTGCTGCAACGTGTAGTAGCACCCGAAGAGTGGTCATCTTTGGGGTGGGGGAAAAGGTCTGGAAGAAGTCAACCCCCTCATGCTGACTACAGCCTCGTACAACGTAACGCGCCTTGAAGGCAGGCGGAGAACCCGGCGGCCGCTTCACCCTGAAAATCCACATGCCATCGACTATGTTCGCCCAAGGTGGGGAAACCCTCCTCGACGTAGGTGCCTGTGGACTTCCAGGAAGCCATCGCTGTGTCCATGGCTATCTGCCACTGAGAGGAGTAGGGACCCTTGATCGCCTCTGCGTAAGTGCGCGGGGTCGGGACGTCAAGTGCATCCGGGTCTCCCTCAGGGCAAAGTAACGTGGATGCGAGATGAGGTGCAGCGGCCGCTAGGCACTCCAGCTCAAACTGCCTGTCCTCATGAACGTCACAGCCAAGGGCAAGCTCACCCCCGATGGACGGAGGACAGGAAGAGTCAAAAACAAGACTCGCAGCGCAGTCAAGGTGGCACAAAGCAACAAAGTCAGCAAGCTTAGCAACTAAGGCAGACGCAGCAGCAGACTCAAAGGAAGGGTCAGACACAACCGTGGTAAGGAGACAAGTCAAAGTTAGACTGGCAGTATGGACAAGGTTCTGACTTAGGGTCAGGAACGTGAGGAAGAGAAGACGCAAGAGGAGACGGCAGGACAACACGGCGTGGAACAGAGGAAGGACGAAATGCCATACGGTGAGTACCAGTCTCACGCTCACGATGCTCAGTCAGGGACTCAGTCACCTCCGTGTGAGGAGCAGGAGCAGGTAGTGGGGAGCCAGGCAGTAGCTGTGGATGAGACTGGTCAGTCGGTGGGAACAGCAACAGAAGAGTAGTACTAAGAACCGGAAACTCAATAGTAGGAGGCGGGAGAATGAGAAGGTGACGAAGCGCAGACTGCTGCGGCCCAAGACGGTGGTGCCAGAGGAGAGTCTGGTGCGTGAGGAGGCGATACGAACAAGACGCATCTACCTGACCTGACTCAGCTACCACTCCAGAATAAGTGGTCAGTGTGTACAGGCCAGACCCAGGCCTCTGAGTGAACGTGGCGAGGTGCTCACCAGTGCGCGAGTCCGTACAGATTGCCACTAGCTCGCTCCCAGGCTGGGTGACAGTGACCCACTGATCCTGGAGGACAGAGGTAGCCACCAAGTTCTTAGCAAACGAGGGGAGGTGGAGACTTGTGAGGAGGCTAGAAGGGGCCGCCGGACGGGAGAGAACAGTGGCGCCACGTCGACTACCGGGCCCCCAGAGGGGTCGGCCAGTGTGACAGGGACAGGGACTGTGAGCGGTGTAACTGTGGTGCTGTCGCGGAAGAAGCAACGAGACGCGCCTGAGTCGAGAGTAAAAGTGTGCAAGGCCTCCTTAAACTCTGCACCTGTGCTAGCTAAGTCAAAAGCACCAAGACTAGCAGCCTCTACCCTAGCAACTCTATGCACACACGAGCAACAGTCCTCCTCAACACTAGCAGAAGCAACATACATCGCATACATGCCAGCATGGATCACAGCCCAGTCATAAGCAGAAACATCTACGTCCTTCTTCATCAAGGTGAGCCAGTCGGGAGTCGCCATGTGCTCACCATGCGCAGTACGATACAGATCATTGAGGCGAAAGAAGAAACGAGACTCGGTGTGATCGGTGCGAGTGCAAGTATCTCTAGGCTGACCTGTGCAACGGACGTACCCGCGGCGAGCTGGGCCACCGGAGCCGCCACGTCGGATCGCCCACTCACGAAGCTGCTGTGGCGAGAGCTGCGCCTGGCGGCTCGGCTGCTGCTGCTGGCCACCCCCAGAGCCACCTTCACCCCCCACTGCACCACCAAACGCAGCCGAACGAGTGGTCAAACCTCCAGCCCCTCCTCCTCCATCTCCACCTCTAGTGCCATCCCCACCCCCGCCACCACCCCCACTGCTCCCACCACCCCCTCCTCCTCCCCTGCTGCCTCCACCTCCTCCTCCCCCACCACCTCCAGTGCCACCACCGCTGCCCCCGCCACCCCCACCACCAACGCCACCCCCGCCACCCCCGCCCTTGCCACCCTTGCCCTTGCCGCTGTGGCGCTTCCCACTAGGAGCAGAAGCAGCACAGACCTCCTCGACACCATCGAGGTCAACAGCAGCAGCAGAGGCAACAGACGGCGCGGGAAGGGAGGGGGAGCAACCCTAAAAAACAGAGGGGAGGGGAGTGCCACGAGAGGCAGCGACAGCTAGGGAGGCAAACTCAGCCTCTAAGAGACGGGACTCAAACGAGTCGAGGGTGATCTTCGTGAGGTCTAGAGCGAGGATGTGGTCGCATACTGTTACGAAGAAGAAGTGATTGCACTATGAAAGATTGGAGTACAAGTAGGAAACCCTAGCTTTGTGTACCCCCTA